ACCGCGCCGGGCGCGGGCGGAGGGGCATGGTGCCGTGGGCGAGGCCGAGGCCGAGGCCGCTCCGTGAGGGGCCGGCGGCCGCGGGAGACTCACGGTGCTGCCCCAGCGCCAGCCTTTCAGTCCCGGCCGAGCTTGGCAGGTGGAGGTGTGAGCCTGTCAGGGAGCATGGCGGTGTGCCGGCTGCGAGGGGTGGCCAGTGCCCTCCTCATCTGTACTCGCACCACTGGGAGCTCCAGCCCTGAGGCGCTGGCCCTTGTTTTCCTGTGGTGATGGTGGTTGGTTGGCCGAGGTGAAAGGGGTCTGATAGCCAGGCAACCTGATAGCTTACACAGAAACTGAAGAAGATGTCTGGCTAAGTACTGACTAGCATCTTCAGCACATCATTCAAAATATGTGAGTCTTCCCGCGTGTTACCCATCTGTCCTCCTATCTTGCGTCTTGTTGTCTGTTAGCAAGTCTACCTGTAGAGCTAGGTAGGCTTCAGCAGTTCAGCTCTAAAGAGAGGATTTCAGTTGTCATTTATTCAGCTTTTGAGCCCATTCCAGCTGTGAAATGTACTGCTAACAGTGCTGGAGGACAAGGTCTCCAATGAAGGCAGTGGCCGTCAGTTGACAGTTTATAGACATGACAAAGCTTCAGAGGCTGCCAAGTTAAATAAGTTTTGTTTCTTGCAGTATGAGGCAAGTCATAATTTTCTTGTGCCATTTGCGGCACTTAATTTGTTCATTTTGGCTAATCCTCTTTTTTAATAGCCCTGACATTTGGAGGACAGGAAGAAGATGAAAGTTCAGTTTCTCTTCTGTGTTGCTTCTTGCCCAAGAAAATGAAACTGCTCTGTGTTTTGGTTTTGCTGTGGTCATCTGAAAGACCGTTGTCATGAGGTTTTCTGTGCGACTTTCTTTTCTGGTTTCTTTTTTTGTTGTTACTTCTACAGGGCTTTTCAAGATGCTTCATGTCATCAAAGACATAGTAACATTTTGTAGTTTATTCCTGTGTTGTGTGGCTTTGCTTTCTCTGAGCTATTGCTAGTGTTTCCAGCACAGATTTTTAAAAGTATAGTTTTTATCCAATCAGAGATAACCACTGATATGGCTGTAAACACTAATTATTTTCAAAGAATAAGCAGGGGGTTATCTTTTTAAACAGGTGAAAGAATTTCCTCCTTCCCTCTTTCACGCAGGTTGTGCCCTTAATTTTGAAAGACCTGAAAGGTCTGTTAGGTGCATCTCCTGGCTGTGTAGCTTTTTTCTTTGTCGAGTGAGATGACGTATTTATGGGGTTTGCCTTTTCTTATCAGGGTTTTTTTAGTGGCCTCCCTGGTGTCTCAGTTAAGGTGAGATTTCACAAAAAATGGTGGAATAATTTTTAGTGGGCATAAATATGTTTTGCTGAATTGTTAACCAGACCTATGCAGTTGTTGACAAAGATACATGTCCTGGTTTCAGCTGGATAGAGTTGATTTTCTTTCTAGTAGCTGGTATAGTGTTACGTGTTGGATTCAGTATGAGAAGAATGTTGATAACACACTGATGTTTTCAGTTGTTGCTAAGTAGTGTTTAGACTAAGCCAAGGATTTTTCAGCTTCTCATGCCCAGCCAGCAAGAAGGCTGGAGGGGCACAAGAAGTGGGGAGGGGACACAGCCAGGACAGCTGACCCAAACTGGCCAAAGGGGTATTCCATACCATGTGACATCATGCCCAGCCCAGGATAGAAACTGGTGGAAGTTGGCCTGGGGGGATCGCTGCTCAGGAACTAACTGGGCATCGGTTGGCGAGTGGTGAGCAATTGCATTGTGCATCACTTGTTTTGTATATTCTAATCCTTTTATTATTATCATCACTATTATTTTCTTCCTTTCTGTTCTATTAAACTGTTCTTATCTCAACCCATGAGTTTTACCTTTTTCCTTCCAATTCTCTCCCCCATCCCACTGGGTGGGATGGGGAGTGAGTGAGCGGCTACGTGTTCCTTAGCTGCTGGCTGGGGTTAAACCAGGACAAGACATTAAACAACTGTGACTTTCATGTCAGGTAAAAAAGAGTGAAAATCAGTAATTGTGGTTGCTTCATCAGTTCTTCATTCTTTTAGGGCTGCTTATTTGATCTCCTTTTAAAACAATAGTGGAAATTCTCCTGTAAAGAGTTTGCGAACAGTTATGGTCTTGATCACATAGAAAATCACATGTTCTTTTTGTAGTTTAATATGTATGAAAAGCAGGTTGGAAAGCCCAGTGCTTTCTTGTGTTCTTCCTTGTACTCTATCACATACTTTTTTTTTTCCCCACCCTTTGGTTTTGTTTGAGGTTTCTAGTACACTTCCTTGTCTGAGATACAATACAGCACTTGAGAAATTATTATTTTTAGTTGGACAGTTCCTATCCCTTGCACTTCTAAAAACCAGAATTACAATTGCAAAGTAGAATATGTCAATGGATAAGCACTTTAAAACAAATAGTCTAAGACAAACCACTCTCCATTCAAGTTAAACTTTTATCCCAGGCACAAAAAAAAAGGAGGGCCCTTTTTTTTAGCCACAGTGTGTCTGTTCTCTCAGTTATGTTATACAAGGTTTTGTATAATTATGGAACAAACATGAATTTTGTTACAAAGCTCTTGGATTTAGCATAAAAGAAAGCAAAAAGATACAACGATAAGACAGTGGATGTGGGAGGGAGATAAGCAGTCATTTGAAATCGGTGGCTGTGGAAAGAAGGAAAAAGATAGCAGAAGGCTTTGGTTTTGGTTTTGATTTGTCTTCAAGTGCGGAGAGGAATCTGAGAGGTGACTGAAGATGAGATTTGGACTGCCAGCAGTGGTCAGTATTCCAGATGGGGCTTTAACCTGGAAGGAAGAAGTACAGTTGCTTACTTAAGAAAATAAAGGGTTTTGGAAAGATAGGTAGTGCAGAAAGCTGTGGGCACGGGATGACTTTGCAGCTGCGAGAGCAGTCACAAGCAAGCATTGGGAGTGTCCTGAGGAATGCAAGGTGGAGAGAAGGTGAAGTCAGGGTGTCAGAGTGGGAGGTGGTCTAGGGCAGACAGACAAATCAGTCAGCAACAGAAATAACAGCGAATAAACCTGCAATTTAGCCTTTTGATTCTTATGCTGAACTGAAATTTGGGGACCCTGTTGCTTCAGCATGTGGGAAGAATGAGTGTATTTTGGCCTACATCAAATTAAGCTGGGACATGTTGGAGGCAAGTAGTCTTTGACAAGTACTTTTTTCTGCTCTCTTTGGTAGGTCAAAAAGACAGTTTTATGTACTCACATATTCTGTTTACAGGTGGCTTTTCATTGAGTTACAGTATTCTCAAACATCACTGCATGCCAGTAGCCTGTTTAAAGAAGTATCAATGCATTATAAACAGCTTTTTGTATTTGTGTAGGTGCTAAAAATGCAGAAGCCATGTTAGAAAATGCAAAAGTGAAAGTAACAAGCTTATGGAAAGTTTCAAAATTAAATCCAAGTTTAGTTTAAACAAGTGAGCAGTGGGTTCTTCTGGCCTGAACTTCAAAAATGATTATTGAGTCTGTGAAAGCAGAGTCATGTATGGATTCTTGAATGTTAGCTTAGAATCTGGAGTAAATAAGTCTTGTCTTTGTAATCACTGTTACACAGACAGTAACGATATAGCTTTGTTTTGGGAGGCACAGAAAGATTACAAAAGATGGAAGGTCTTAAACAAATCTGTGCTATTCTTGCTTTCTCGCACCAATATCTTGTTGGAGCTTGAAGAGACACTTCCAAGACAGGCATAAGTATAGCCTTGAAGTCATTAGTAAACTTGCTTGCTATGTGGGAGAAGACAGCAAGTTCATAGTATTTTATGATGAATGATGAATACATTGATGTATTTTAATGTTCAAATTGTACGTTACTCAGACAATCTGCCCATTTTTAGAAGTGACGTTCTCTCATGGAGAAATGCCTTCATGTTCTCACGTCCCACTTATTCTTGCCAGAGAAAATACTTCTGATTTAAAGCTATTAATTATCTTGTTGTTTATGTGTAAAAATAAGATGGTTGTAGACTGCTGTTTCTGTTGGAAGCCAGAAGATGCCCGTAATGTGTGCCGGGAGGGAGCACAAAAAGCCACTGATATGTGTATTTTGTTAAGGAGCAGTGCTGGTACTAGTTTCTGCTGAGAAGTCTGGTAACAGTGCAGATAGGAATTTGCGTTGGCACCAGATGTGTGGAAAAAAGCAACAAACTGTGGTGGACAAAGGGTTTTGGACAAGAAGAAAGTTACAGGATTAGTTGAACTTTACAACTTGCAGATAGAACTTTGTGATTAGACTTGATTGCAACTAATGATGCATTGAAGAGGGTTTGGTCACTGATAGTATTGATAAGGCCAGCTGCTTACCACTGTACCACTTAAAAAAAAATATTGCAGTAGGAGTTAGCAGCTCAAGGTGTTGACACTGGAGATGGGGAGGTTGTTAACACCATCACATAAGGTACTGGTGAGGTCTCATCTAGAATACTGGACACAGGTGAGGTCAGTCCCATTTAAGACAGCTTAGTTTAAGCTGGAAGGGTGGTTAAGACTTACTAGGATGATAAAGGAAACACTCTGAGGAAGGAAACTGACAGGTTGGCTTTATTAGCCAAGCGAGTGAAGGCTAGAAGACTATGAGGCTGATGATGCTTTCTCTGATCTATCAGAAATAAGAGCTGCTGGCATGAAAAAATATCTGCAGAAATAAATTACAGCATTTTAATTTTACCAGTATTCACTGTATGGGCATTTAGGTACTGTTCTTTTAAAAAGATAAAGTTATGTTTTCTCTTCAGAAACCAGACCATTACAGAGTTCTTCAAACCAGTTTCAAACAAAGGTAAATACATGTTTTTTAAATGGGAGATATTTCTATGAGTTTTAATTATATAAACGTGCAGAAGTATTGTCGAATCTCATTCCAAATAGGAGCAGCAATATAGTGAGTATAGCTTACCGAATATCTCAAAATGTGCACATTTCAAATTTTTTCTAATAATGTAACTGAAAACATAAATTTCCTATTAAAATTAACTCCTTTAAATAGTGATGTGCTTATGATTTTAAGTTGTTGTCTCATGCTTAAGCGTGATTGTTTATAACAACTGAAGCTGTGACATAGATAATGCATTTCTTTGATATGAAAGAAATTGCATGGCACTAGCAAAACTAAATGATTAAGTAAATTAATTTTGGATTGTGTGTGAGATATAAAATATCAACTAATACAGTCCAGTAAGATTGGGGTTTTTTTTTTCCAGTATTGTGATTGTGAATAATTTGTCTTGTCTTTTCTTTCTTAGACCTTGGCCATAAAGACAGAACTGTGTTGTGTTCACCAGACAAAGGAAATGTAAAAGATGCAGGAATCGGACTGTCAGTTTTATGCACTGAACGTTTTGAAAAGAAAATATCTCCTCCAAAGAAGGTCAGAAGAAAAAAGATGCCAGACCAAACACCAAACACAAGTCCTGTGGTAGATGCCTTTCGGAGAGGAATTAAGGAGGAAAAGGACAGTGTAAACATTTTAGAGAATGGCAGAGCATGCAAGGCACTGGGTTCATTGTACCCAAAAGTTGTGATTCAAAAACTCCTTGTTACCACAGGGTCTCAGAGCTTTTTCTTGGCCAAAAAGGATAAAATTGTCAAGTCAGAACAGGGAAGAAATGAGAAGTGTCTGGGTGTAACAAGAGCACCATTGTCTTCTGGAAATAGTTGGGAACAGCAAACTGACTGTATGGATCTAGAAGACACTAGTTCAGACTCTGACAAATGGGTTTCATCATCAGAAGCTGATACCCGAAAACCCTGTGCTGGAAATAATGGCACTGCGAACAACATGCCTCTGTGCCAAAACCCAGGTCTTCCCATGAAATTGCCCTGCGCTCCAACTGACTCTGAATTTAGGTTGTCGCTGGAAGCGCTCCGCAGAGAAAGGAAGCGGAAGAAACATAGAATGAAACAATCTAAGCCACATCCTGTGAAGCCATTCTCAGGAACAAGTGTATCACATCAGGTGTGTTTAAAAGAGTTGTTAAAGGTGGAAATCGGTGACCCATTGTGCATGCGATTTTTTTTTAAATTATTTTTTTATTTTATTTTTCAATGTAGGATGAGATTCTTGGTGCTGCCTTTTTTAGATGTAACAAAAGTTTATGCTCTTTTTCTATTTCTTTGTAAGTTTTAGGTCATGCTTGGGTAAGCTGGTTCTTAACTATTCTACAATAAATGAGAAATCCTGGTTTAAAAGCAGGGGAGATATTCTGGGTTAGATGCAAGCATGGAAATGCAATGGAAATTGTAACTTTAAATTGTATTTTGTAGAAAAAATGTCTTTATCTTAAATGTCTTATAACCTTGTGTTTTCTTACAATGTAGTGTAGGGAACAGCCTAGCAAATTTCTGCTGGTTAGAAGTTGCAGTTAATGGCAGTTCAGATTTATGCACTTAAGCCACAATATTTAGATGGAGTGGGAGTGGTCCTATTAAGTATGTAGTATTTCATTGCAGGCTGAATTATATTCACTTTTTGTATCAACCAAGAAAACCCTTTAAAAGTTTGCTGGTTATTTGCAAGGAAGATCACTATGTGTGTCTCCATAATGTGCTATGAATGGAACAAAAAAGACTGTTAACTTGTGTTTCCTTTTCTCCTTAGCACCCCTCCCTCTGTTTTTGCTTGTCTGTGCTTTCTGTCATTTTGTTGTTTAAGTTCCTTATTACTTGTTTGAGGAAAGCCAGCTGGACTGTGTTGCCATATAGCCCAGGGACACAAGTGGCTAATGGCCCTAAAAGTGGAGCGATTTAGAACCACCGGTGGCCAATCTGAAGAAAAGGTGTAAAATCTGGGTTGTGGAGAGTCCTTTTGTTGAGATCTTTGCAGCTGTGTTTTAAGTTTGTCTTGAAATGAAGTATATTGCCATATTTCTGGGGGTGTGTGGAACTAAGCCTGTGCTGGATTCAACACTTGGCTCAAGGTGTCAACATCCTGGTTTTTAAAAGTATGTGATTAACATTTTTTTCTCTGTCTTTATTTTTAGGGAAATGGATGTCCTTTAAGAAAAATACAACATTCTGGTTCAAGGGAGACTGCCTCAGGTAGAAGCAGTGCTGAAAATACAGAATTAATTAAACCTTTAAAGATAAAAATTTAATAAATTAAAAAATCAGGTTAATCACTTAGTGTCCCTTTTTAATGGCTTTTTTCCCTTGAATTTATGTTTTTCTGTTTTCTCTCTCTCTGAAAAAAAAAAAATTACTGCTGTGTAGTCAATGTTATTTCTAACGGCAAGCTTGAAGAGGTTTAAAAGTAATTTGGGATTATAGTGAAAAACAGATTGTTTGTAACTTAATTAGAAATCATTATAGTTCTTTGTCTTAAGCACTTAATCTCTGATTATTTTTATGGTTTCTCTTGCATTTTGGAAAATTCACATTCACTCTGGTGGTTAACAAATTTTGCCTTTCAGCTTAATCCTAAAAGAACATTCTTGTTGAACTGAACACTAAAGTTTAGCTGGTATTTCTGTTGCTTTTTGTCCCTTTTAACCACATAATTCTGTTCTATGGTAGGTAGAACTGAATATAAAAAGCTCATGTGAATAGAAGCTTGAGCTAGGTCAGTAGGATGATTAAAAAAATAAAAAAAAAAGGAGGTGGGGAACCCAAAACAAGGAGCATATTCCCACCTTGTGGGTCCATGGCTGTGTAAACCTACCAGACTGTCTGCCACTATGCTTTACTTTCCACCTATGCTAGCACTGGGACTTGGCCAGCGGTGCAAGGAGCTGATCTGGCTGAAAATGGGAGTTGGGAAGTTCTGGGCCACATCAGCTCCATGAAGTAGCTTGCCATGACGTGTCCAGGTGCTGGTGCCAGCTTAAGGCAGGAAGCAGAAAAGCATAGTAGGAAAGTGGGCTCTGGTTCCATAGAACTATAGCCTGAAAACAGATTTCTTCATATTCTGAATACTTTTGTTATGACCACTGTTAAAATTATTGCAGTATTTTCAAAATACTTTTCACACTGTTCATTATTTATAATCATAATATGTAATAACAGAAACTTTCTTCCAGTCTCATACCTGAACTGGGCTATTGTCTGTTTCCAAAGACTGATTGATTCTAGTGTATAAGAAAACTGTTCTATGGTGGCTGCTGAGCTGCTTTAAAATAAAAGGACTTAATTTAATTTCCAAGTTAGTTACAATAATAACATAACAGTACAGTATCAGCTAAATCTTAATTGTGTTCTGCTGTGTTCAAGCAGAATGGAAGTATTGTAGTTTCTGCTAAAAATTTCAGTCATAGTTGACTTAAAAACAGAAGTTAGTTTTTTAAAGGGTGAGCTGTTACAGTTTTGATTTATTTTTTTTTTTAAACATGAAAATAGTGGCTTACTTTTTTCTTAAACACTTCATAGATGACCCATCACAACCAAAGCCAAAGCAGGTTTCAAAACATGAGGCATCTTCTCCAAATGCACTGAGAACATCATCTGAGATGGCCAGTGGTATGCGAAAGAGCCAGTCTGTTCCTTCATGCTGCCTTAGATCAAAGATGTCTTCTGGACGATCCAAACAAATAGACTTTCCTGGGAAAAGAAAACATGCTGCCATGAGTGCAGATGCAGACAGTTCAATTCAATCTGAAGTATCAAGTTTGAATGACCCTGCTTTTAGTAGATCATCTGCAAAATGCAAAAATAGAAAGTCTGACTTTGTAAAAAATATCCTTTTAAAGTCTACTTGTGGTGATGTTCTGCAATTAATGGAGGCTGCTGCTCTACCTGGACATGATTCTACTCTTCCAGAGGAATACCTCAACTCAAGCAATGACAATGAGAAGAATAATTGCTCCTCTGTAGGTTTGTCATCTTCATATTCTGCACACAGTCCTGGTAAAAGTAACCACATTTCTGTTGTGGATACCAAAGAGAATCAATTGCAGGTGGCTAACTCATGCTTTTTCTTGGAAAAGTCCCTTCCTTTTTCTCAGGAAAAAAGTACTGTGTTGCCTTCTCTCCACCGCTTAACACAAACAAAAGGTGTGAAATCTCATCTCCAGAATGCTGGCTTATCTCAGGTATTGGATGCTAAGAAAGAGCAAGATGGGAAAAGACCAGAAAGATGTGCACACAATAAAGCTTACAGTATTAAATCCAGCAACAGTTTTTCAAAAACAAAAGACAAGACTCCAGAAAATGTTTCTGATTCTTGTTCAGTGGAAGGTTCTAGGAAACTTGCACTCTCAGAAGAGACTGATAAAAGTGTTCCCTGTTTGTTGCCCTTTAAAGAAGGATGCATGGACAGTGGCCATATGTCTTCACAACTCTCAGGAGAGTTAAAAGTTGAAAGCACCTGTACAGCTGAGTCTACGTTGAATGGAAAATCAAAAAGCAGCTTTGATAGTGAAGATGAGAGTTTGGAATGCAGTCTAGATGATGATGAAGAAGTATTCATACCACTGCAAGAAATGCTGTCTTCAAGACCCAGGGCACAGGCAGGAACCCTGGAAGAATCTAGTCTTGACAGTTTTTCTCAGGACACCATGACTCCATTACTGAAGCTTCATGTAAGTGGCTAAAAAAAACAAAAAAAAGCATTACGTTAGCTTTGTTATATTGTATTATTAATATGATTTTTTCCTTTATTCATAATGCACAAAAATGCAGAGTTATTTGCCTGGAAGCCTGGTTACTCAGCTTAATGGTCCTATGCTGTACAGTGCAATGTAGTCAGAGAAGGGGTGTGCTTGTTACTATGCTTGTCCTTGGAATGGCTGAAAGATGGTTTGTGCAGCCAGATTGTGTTAGCTGTATGCCTTTTGGTGGTTTTCAGGAGTTCTGGTTTTGCTTTTTCTGCTAAAGAAAAAGGCAGGAGGTTACATTTAGAAGATGTGTGGGGTCTAATATTTTCATTTTCCTAATCGGGTAAGATTTTTATGAGTTGAAGTTAACTAGAGGAAATTGATCTAGATGTTGAGAGATCAGTGTGCTAGGCTCCAATTGTATATCCTTGTCACAGTCTGTGATTGTCAAATCTGTGTACGAGTTCTTGATCTGTAAGTGATGTTTTCTTTGAGGTTGAATTTCATGGAAATTGGAAGTATTTTAGAAAGGATTTCAAAAAGCTCTATGACTACTCCTGCTCAGAAGGGATAGATGAAGTGTTTGAACCCCAGTTTGCAGGGTATTATGGTGATGAATTGATGTGTGTTTTTAAAAGTTAGCCTATTTTTTCAATAACAGCTTGTCAAATAAGTAGTGATTTTGAAGTCTTATTGTAAAATAATGTTTTAATTAGGAAGGTCCTGCAGTAGGACTTGGTGTGGCATACCTGACAAAGTTGGTACAGGTTGGAAACGGCTGCATTTAAATAAAAAGATTTTGTACTGAGTCTGGCTGAGTTGGAGTTAATTTTCTTCATAACAGCTGTATGGTGCTGTGTGTTTCGGACAAAAACAGTGTTAATGAGAGACCAATCTTCTGGCTATTGCAGAGCAGTACTTGTATAGCATCAAGGCTACTTCCCACTCTGCCCCCACAGCAAGCAGGCCGGAGTAGACAAAAAGTTGGGAAGGGACAGAGCCTGGACAGCTGACCCTAGGAGACCAAAGGGATATATGCTATGCCACATAGTGTCATGCTCAGCCATCAAAACCAAGCAGGGGGAGTTGATCTGGCATGTAGCCACTACTTGGAGTCTGCTTGTGGGAGGTACTGAGTTATTGCCTTTGCATCACTTTCTCTTTTCCCCCGTATTCCCTCTTCCTTCACTTATTAAACTGTCTTTATCTTGGCCCATGAGTTTTCTTGCTTTTGCTCTTCTTATTCACTCCCCTGCACCACGGGGAGGGGAAATGAACAAGCTGTGTGGTGCTTAGCTGCTGGCTGGGGTCAGCCCACGGCTATTTTCTACAGTAGAAAACAAGCAGCAGAATACCTGTATAAATACTCTTGTCTTCATCTCCTCCCATTTTTAAATCTCTGAAATGGTTTATTTCTTGATTGAGTTACTACCTTTGTAGGCAGATGTTGAAGAGCCATAATTATTTTATCTGTCCTCATAATTCATTATGCAAGCATGTTAGACTCCTTGTGGTTACATACGTATTCCGCAATCTTAACCAACATGTCTGCGTAATTAATGGTTAAGACTGATAAACAGATGCAGCCTAGATCAAATATTTGTGGCATGTATGTGGCCACAACATTTGGCCTATCCTGTTTCTGCATAATTAATGGCCAAGTAAGACAAAACAGTTAAGAACTGTCCCAAAATTTCCGTGACCATGGTTTTTGCATATACTAACATTCTTGTCTTGTAAGAAGGGGCATATGTGCACATTGGAATAAAGCCTTGATTCCTGTTGTTAAACAGTCATTTTAGACATATTAACCAGATACAAAATAAGGTAAGAGGTCTTTAGCTATCCCACAAGATTTTCCACACAGAGACATGCTGCTTGTTACATTTGCAAGGTCTCTTTGAATACCAAAAATCAATGCTGTATTAACTGGCTTCTTTATTAGCAGGTGGACACTTAACTTCGTAAACTAACTTCTCTTACTTTTGGGTAATAGAAAATCCCTAATGAGAGGGTATGCTCTTACTGAATTGTGTTGTCCTAAAATGAAGGAGCTCATAGGAAGAAGCTTTGTCACTAGTAAGAAGCTTGCAATTTAAGAAGGTGGTCAGAAGGGCACTGCTTGTCCAAAGAACTGAATTATGGTGATAAAAGATTTCAAATCTGTGTTGTGTGCTACTAGCTGAATGAAACACTGGCTACTGAAAAACTAATTTTGCTAGTGGTTAAGACATTGTGTGTTGTTTTGGTTTTTAATTCTATTTATTAGCTTCTTAATCTGGGTTTGTATTAGGATTTTGATTGGAAGCTTTGTTTTGACTGATGATTTTGGAGGTGATTTAGCAAACACTGGTGCTTTGTCCTCTAGGGACTCCTGAAAGTAACATAGAGGTACTGAATTGTTTTTGGAGTTTCTTGTCTCATGCATGAGAATGGGGATTCCCAGGGTCTTGGTGGATGGTAATAATAAAGCTGTGAGGTAAAAGGCTTCTGATGCTAATGCTCTTTGTGAAGGTTAGCTGGAGATCAGCCCCAGGGAGAGAAGCAGAGACTTGCTTTGCTGTTCTAATCCATCGTGAAGCACAGTTATTTCTAAATTAATCACTGAGAGAGACTTGACCATTATATAAAATTGTCAAGGAATTGAGAAACCTAAACTGTTAATCATCTTATTTTTCAGGGTCTCCTTTGAGTTTTTATTTTCAGATAAAATATCATTAAAATTTGAAGATATTTCTATTTTGATTATGTTTATTGTCTAATAATGAATTGATAGCTTGTGGTATTTTTTTAATTTCTCACTATTTCATTTACAGCTTTCTAAGCCTTCTGTTGTTAGCCAGGTGTCATATGTGAACAGCTTAGAACATCTTTTAAAGGAGAAAGAAGAATCTAAAAGGTTTGTTTCTTAAAGTTGCTTTGAAAAATTTGTGATGGAGTTGTGGACGCTTAGATTTACCTTGTCTCTCTGAAACTGCTGGAGTTTGGGTAGCAGCAAGCTAAACTTTGCCTGCTGATGCCACCAACATACATCTGATGGAACCTACAAGTGTGGCTTAACTGTAAAAGCTGAATGGCAGGCTCTTTACAAGCAATAAAGAGTGATTTGTGATACATTTGTCTACCCCTCAAGAGCCAGACTAAATTTACTGGTGCCTTCTTACAAGTCACTGAGCCAGCTAGCAGCTGCTGGTCAGTCATGAAATAGTATTTATGAGGACTGACTTTTTTCAAAGGCATTTGTAGCTCAGTTTTGGTTTCCGAAGTTGTGTAAACTATTGGTATCTGAGTAGTTAACACAGTTCAGCAAACAGAACTAATGAGTGTTCTTGCAAAAGATCTTTTGGGTAGAAAGTGTAATGTGGTATATGTACTAATGGCAAATGGTGGTGATGGGTATATGTGTGATTAACTGTTTTGATTAAAGAATCTGACCCTAGTAACTATGGGCTGACTGATTATGGAGTAGTGAATACTCCTATAACTGATACTATTTAACAAATAAAATACTAGTATGAAGTTTAAAAAAAAAAAAAAATTTCAACCAGTTGGTTGAGTGTATTTGTCTCTGTCAAACTAGTGATTGATTGTGTTGTTGGAAATTCATTGGGTTTTGGGAAACATCCACTTTTTATTTTGGAATAGCAAGATGCTTGTTTATTACACAGATGCAATGTCTTGCCTGCTTTTGCCATTTGTAATTGGCTACTGACTCCTGGGTTCACATTCAGAGCTTAAATTTTGTTGTCTTCTGTTGTAAATACTAAATGGTGGTGACATGTTCTGCTGCTACTGTTATTTCAGGGTAGATGAACTAGAAAAGCGGTTACAGGAAGACATACAAGGAAGGGAAGCTGATTCTACAGATGGAGAAGATGAGGAAAATGCCAGTGGAGATGAAGATCTCTCAGAAGAACACAGGTCCTTCCAACTCCAAAACCAATTAAATCTAATTCTTCAATTAGATCTAAATCTAATTTTCTAGCCTTTTTTTCTAATTTTCCTCTCTATTTCCATCTGTTGTTAGTATGTTTAACATGAAACATTTTTATCATCCTTCAGGGTTGGGTGGATTTTCTTCAACACTATTGTGTTTTCACAATTCAGCTTTCACATAAGGCTGATGTGTACATCATCTGAAAATAATTGTCTCAACCAGCAAATAGCCTTTCCATGTTTAAATTCATAAAATTTTGAATTTTACAGGGCATTTATAAAGAGATTTTCAGTAGTAGCTCATGCCATACCTGACTACCACCCTGGAGAAGATATATTTGATTTATCAACCTCTGGGAAAATCTTCAATCAACATAACCTAGACTTGAGGAATTTTCACTTCATCCCTCAAAATCCTATAGGAAAACTCCTTTTTAGGTAAGAATATCCTCTTCACTCAGTTGTGTTTACTTGGACAATTTTCTTCAGTGTTAGCAGATTTTAAGATAAAATAGTATCTTTGCCTGCGAATGAGCTCTGTCTTACTAAGTAGGCAAGACTGACTCCCTTTTCCTGGAATTCTCTTTTCCAGGTTAGATTTACAGAACAGTGAATTGTTACTTGAAGCTTCCCTTCTTTCCTCCTCTGGAATTCTTGAAAAACATCTTAAATGAGACACAAGGAAAAAAAATAGGTGTTCTGGCCTCTTCCATATTTCTACTGTGTTGGGCTATCATTGATAATCTGACCAGTTTGTGAAAGATAAATCCAGAAATGGAAGGTTATAATGAACAAAAGCTTAACTATCCCAAGACAGAAAGAGGACCCTTGTGGTGATCTGATTTGTGACCTGCTGGTGTTGCATTATGTTTGCTGAAAGACTTTTAGATGTTTTTGTCCTGAATGGGCCTGCGACTTAAGGCTTCACTTAATGAGGGTTGCAGAAAGTCACAATTTCTGACATCTGTTAGATTCAGTCACTGAGCTAGCAGTGTGTCTCTGTGGATGTAAACAACTGTTCTGTAACTCATAGGGATTTGTATACTATATTTATGAGGCTGTCGGACAACAAATAGCTGGACAAATTCTTGCCTAATACCACAAGTGCAAATCTTGAAAAATTCTGGTTATTTCAGTTGGCGTTTTATTCCAAACTTGCATCAGTGAAACTGAGAGAATTCATTTAATCTTAAAGTATTTTGTATCCATGTGTATCTGCTATTGTGGGTGTGAAGAGGAGGAGGCTGGCTTTTCCTCATCTCTTTGAGGAAGTGATGTTTGTGATATACTCATTTTGCTTCAGGCCTTTATTAATATGTTTTGAAGATCACGAGGATATAAGCTTCAAAAGTATCTTGTAAGTCAGTGACTGGAGGAATGAGAATTAAATGAATCTTCCCTTGCAGAAGGCAATTATGATATAATTGCTTATGCATTCTGCCCAGTTGGCACAGCTAGCATGTACTGGCTGTCCAGTTGGCACATGGATGTCTTCCTAGCCACTTGCTCAGTCAGACAGATAAAGGGTATATGGAGAAGTTAGGACACAGATCTCTCAACAGAGCTACCTGTTTCAGTAGATGCTGAGAATAGAAGAGACTAAAGAAGGGTATGTGGAGAAAATGGGTATCATATTCGGCTGTTTATGACATACCTGACTTTCTAAAGAAGAATAATGCTAAAATAATTCATTAATAAAAATGACGTATTTTCTGTTCTTCCAACAGCTACTTTTTGCACCTCACAAATTTGCACAGTGAGAATAGGCTGTTTGATTTTAATTGCTTTAGTTTGCCTTCAGACTATATATTTAAAATTTAAAAATTTCAAACAAAGATTTTTCTTCTAAGAGTGTACGTAAAGGTCATTGGACAGTAAAAAGTCTTATTCACTGGTCTCATTGAGCATAGCAGTCCATCTGTGTAGACAGGCATGACGGTTCATTGTGCAATAGTGTAGATCAATGTTTGAAGTTTTATTCTCTAATAATAAAAATGTTTCCAAATTATATAGTATGGCATTCTGGAGAAAAAGGTAGTTGTAAATAACAAAGGAGGTTGAATTACTATAGTATTTCACATAGGTGAGAGCATAAGAGTAACATCTGTTTTGGATGTTCAGATCTTTGTTTGCTGTTGATGGTGATCTGAGGGGTGGGGAAGTTCTTATGCTTTTGTGAAAGTGCTGGTTCAAGCACTAATTGATTTTTCTCCTCTTTCCCCACCCCCATCTTTGTCTTACAGTTCTAGTGTAACACAGCAGCTTTCTTTAGCTATTAATGGTTTTCTGACTTCTGCTTATGGTTGTGTCTTGTGTCCCGTACCAATTCTAAAGTGGCTTTTCCAGGTAAGTCTACACTATTCATGCAGTTAAACTGCAGTTATACTCTGTATATTCTTCCTGGAAGCCAGCTGTAGCAGGAATAATCAGAACAAGTTTGTGAATCTGTTTGTTAACAACTTTTACATCAAAAAATCTTTCTTTCTAAGTTCTGATTTGTTCTCCAGTCTGAACTACTTTGATTGTCACTAGGGGTAGCTTTTTCTCCACACTTTCTGAGTGACTGCAAAGCTGCACGTCCTTGTCCATCTTCATACATATTACTGCATTTGAAAAGGGTACAGTACATGCTAGGTGAGAAGAGACTTCAGGATATAATAGTGTGAGCCAAATCACAACCAAATGTTAATCTTATTTCCTTTCACCCTTAAAGTACATGCTGCATTATGCACAAGTGCAAAGTATCACCTTCTAAATCATCAGAGATACCTGCATTATCAGATAATTCTCTTTGGAAAAGGTTTATGTGTATTATGACTCAGGAAAAAGTCTGGAGCCATTCTCAAGGAAATGTGGTGTCTGTCTGTTTTGTAGATGTCTGTGTCCGTGTCTAAATCCCCAGGAATTTACCTTGTTCTGTTACTCATAAAAACACCCCTTTCTAATCTCCATTCTATTATTATTTACCACATTCTAACTGTGCCTGAAGAAAACTGGACTGCCTGTGAAATTGCCGCCTGGGTCTGTTGGCTGGCTTTGCGCTTTTGCCGAAAGCGAAATGTTTTGCTCCTGCATGTCCTTCCCTCCAGCCAGTAAAAAATTGCCTTCCACCCCTTCTGTGAGCCCTAGTGTTCCTCTAATAAGGAGGAATTGTGAGCCAATTCAGCTCACTTACAGAGCAGGAAACTGTACAGCGCTTGGGGGAGAAAAAGAAGAGGTTTTTTTTCTGGCCTAGTGAAGTGCTTCAAGAAACCTGAACTGTACTTCATAGTCGTGTTTTTGTAGTTAAAGAGTTCTAAGAAAAACTAAGGATTCATTGTTTCAGTTTAGTATCGCTTATGCTCAACTTGCCCATGACTGGGCAAGGTTGTAGTTAACTCTGTTGCCCCTGCTCCCCATCAAGGAGTCCAATTTGATAACAGATGCAAATGGGTTCCAAAGGGATACATGATACTTACCATTCTCTTAACCCTCAGTACCTTCGTATGAACCAACAGATTAAACATGGCTTTACAGCATCTCATATTGCAAATAATTAATTTTAAAGTATTCATAGCATCTGTGCCCTGCTTGAAATAATCAATACTCACAATATTCTTGGTGTATCTTGCTTACAGAGGCTTTGGGGTTGGATTTTTTTCTATTACTGTTTCTTATTTTATTTTACCAAGGAGTTGGTTTATTCTTTTTTAATTAAAAGAAAACTGATGCCATCATGCAACTTGGTGTTTGACATGTAGCTTCTTTTCTCTCCACAGATGATGTCTGTTCATCCTGACTATTTTGTTTCCACCCAGATTTTAGACAGATTGATGGAGATAACACTAAAAAATGGTGAGTATTTGAAGGATGGAAAACTGACCACCTGAATGAAGGCATTTCCCTTCTGTTAAGTATAGAAAGGTATTGGGGAGGAATTAAAAGGCACTGGCTCTGTTCTGTGATTTTTGGCATTAATTTAGGCTCTCTGTTACTTACATAATGCTCAAATGCTAGGAGTTAGTCTTCATTGAGTGTGTGCAAGCTGTACCACAGGATGTGGTCCTGGCATGTATTTGCAAAGCAGTGCATCTGGTACAGCACCTTTTAAACTCACTTCTGTTATTTCACAAATAGAATTGACCTGAAGAAGAGCCCAGTCTGCTAAGAAGTTTATTCTCCTTTCCATTTCTTACTCTGGAAGATGCAGACATTCATTTCATAGCTTAAGGACTACAAGATGTTTTTCACATAGTCATACCCAGTATGTAGCACTGCATAGTTTACTTTCTAGATAAATGGCAAAAGTGAAGAGAATCATACACCTGTACAAAAACACTTTCAAGGATCTGCTTCAGCCCACACTGCTGCTCATGTCTTGTGTGTTTTGCCTGCCTTCATCTGTACTCTCAAATACTTCTCCAGTACAAGTTCCTTTGTATGTTCTTCATGTCTTCACTTTATTCAGATCCATCAAAAGTCACTAATTCATTTAAGCCTGCCTGTTAACATTGTTCAAGTAATGTGTTTCTCTTGAAGTACTTGCTCAGTCTGTCCAAACTGTACCCCATATTTTGAATTTTGCTTGAAATCAGACTGTGAGCTGATATGAGAGGGAGCGTAGCCTCCTTTATTTTGTGCTTTGCTGATACTAAGCTTGATTCTGAATGAACAGTTCAAGCTGATGAATGAGCATTCAAAGAATTAATGCTGTGAGAGATCCCAGCAGATCTCTGACTTCAGAGCAGGATCAAATAGGCTACAGTTGCTCCTGGAAAGTAGTCTACCCACTTTAAAATTGCCAACTGTGGAGTCTTTAAACCATTCTGAGAAGTTCTGTTCCAGTGCTTAACTAAGGATGCATCTTTTTTGTTGTTTTTTTGTTTTGGTTTGGTTTTTATGTTACTGAATTGAACATCAAGATCTGAAGCTGCAGTGTCTTGAGTGTTATGTTCCATTATATCTGTTTTTTTTCCCACAAACTTAGCTTTAAGACACAAAATTGACCCAATTCAGAATTCTAGTGACTTCTGTCATTGTTTGGAAAACACTGTGTCTAGTTTGATGTTTCCTTGCTAGTTCAGTGTTCTATAGAGAATCCTCTGTACAGTTTGCAGACTCTCAGGTACAAGTCATCATACAAATCAGCCCTCTTTGCAATGAGCATTGTTTCTTACTTCTATCAAATAAGTGAATTCCATCTGTTTAGCACTTCTTTTCTAGAAACATTGCCTGTTTTCAAATCTTATTTAGCTCTACTGCAGTCCCATTATAACACCCTCTTGCCTGTACCTACACAGAATGGTAATTTATGTATCCTCTTAAAAGTAAATATTGCCTCCCTGATTATTCTGCTGTTTGTGATGAAAGAGAGCTGTGAGGTAAAATGAGTGCAACTTTAAAATAATTCACCTGTTACATAGGCAAGGTGTTTCTCTAGCATAAAATACCATGTTAGACTATTTTTTTCCCCTCATCATTCTGAAAATAAGCATATTGTTCAATGTAGCAACTCTTCTGAGATGAGAGCTGGTAGAATTGATGCAGACTGCTCAGCTTTTTTCCCTTAAAAGGAACTAATGCTAAGAACTAAATTTAAAACTAATCCATTCCATGTCTTTTACTTGTAGCTTCCATCAGTGATGAACAGTCTAAACCATGGATTCCTTCACTAGCTGATGTGTCAGCTGTTTTTGTCAATATGGGTGTTGCGTTTAGATCTCTCTTTCCATTGCAGCATCTTCAGCCCAACTTTAACGAGTGTGATATTTTGTAAGTGTTTTCCTTTTGATATTTATTGCTTAGATCCTGTGAAAGCAAGGCTTGTGCTTAGAATGTAGAATCAGAAGGTTCTCCTTTATTTCCCCTCCCTTCCATCAAGCCATACTCTTCTATAAATTCTCAGCTCATGTCTTCATAAGAGTAAATAAACCAGAACTTCAGACAATGCCTGACAGGTAAGGATTCAGCAAACCAGAGCTTTGTCCTTTGTCCTGCACCTTCCTAATAGAGGTTTACAAGAATTGTTGCCTAAATAGCTGGGCAGAATTGTAAGTAATTGGTTACAAGTTGAGATAGGTGTGTGTGCTCTGTAACTGAGGATTGTTTTGATTTGAAGGCATTTTGAAACATGCAGGGTTTTTTTGTTTTTTTTTTTTTTTCTTCAGTTTGATGCAAATAAGCCTTTGTGGGCTTTTAAATTGTTGATTTATTGCTCAGATTAGTGTCTCTTTTATTAGAAGTCAGATTCAAGAAACAGTGAGTAAACAACAGCCAAGAGAAGACCTAACCTCTGCCAATCCAGCCTTCCTCAGTCTACCAGAAAACAATTTAATCAATGTGATTAAGGTGAGAAAACTCTAGTTAGTGTGGGAGAGGGTTTTGTGGGGGTGGGGTGTGTTGTTACTTTGTTTTGTTTTTTAGCAAAAACCGGGGTGTCTTAATCTACTCCTGGGCATGTTTTGTGAGTAGATGCTATCCTGGGGTTTCTGCTGAATCAGATATTATTGCAGGCTTGTTGCAATCTCTAAAGTTTCCTGATTTCTATTAGCTTCACTCACAACTGCACAGTTCTGCTGCCTCCCTTTTCCAGCTGTGGCACTTTATCAAATGTCTCTGCTCCTTTGTGTAGAAAAAACTATCCATTTCTGTGTTCCAGTGGAAATGGGAAGGGGAGTTGATGTTGGGTGGTATGTTTTATGCTGCTTCAGTGTGTTAGTGCAGCTCTCGGAGGTATGTGATCAGTCCCTGTGCAGCACAAGATGAATGAGGTGGGAGCTCCTGGAAGACAGGTAGAGCTGTGACTGACTCTGCTGTGGAAGTGAGCTGTTAGATCCATGCACTGTGTCCTGTGAGACTGTAGGCTGAATGAGTGCTGGTCACACCTCACAGGCTAGTTCTCTCTGATTAAATGTTGTATGGTGAAAATACTGACTTTGTAACTGATTCAAATACTTCCACAAGGAACTCTGAAATCTTCCTGACATCATTTCTTTAGAGATTTTTGACTGTAAAATCACTTAGTTCAAGAGAAAGCGGTCAGAGCATCTCCACTAGAGACAGGATACTTATATCTTGATAAATGTATGTTCTCATTTACACACACATCCCATATTGTAAGTAACCCATGTGATAATGCTTGGGTGGGGAAAAATCTCTTGATTTATGTTTTCAGTATTACTTCTGTATTTAGAAAGTCTGTCAGTCTTTTGTTCAGTTAGATGAGGATTGTCTGAGCAGTGGAGACAGATCTTCCCTACTCCTGTAATGTCCAGGGAATATTGCCACGTTCAAAAGATGAGCCTCCAGGAGGTCTGTTAAAAAAACAAAAAAAAAACCAAAACAAAACAAAAAAAAAAACAAAAGAGTGCAGTTACTGGCAGATGGGGAGATATTAGTACTCAGGTGTTGCAAGAACAATATATCATTTGAGGTGCATTTTAATGTGAGGGTGGAAAACTTAAGTTCTTATCACACTTTAAAATAAGCTAACCCAATTTCAGATCTTAATGCTTTTTATTTCTTTTAAAGTTTCTAGGTTTCTGTACAACAGTAATTCAAGGTGGATATACTGATCAAGAAATATTGCTGCTGCTTCTATTGCTATTTAAAATAAGCTTGGAGAAACAGTTAAAGCAAATTCCTTTGGTGGATTTTCAGTGCCTTTTCATAAAGCTTCTGATAAGTATAAGAGACTGGGATACAAAGGTAACTTCATAAATAATTTTCTTGTACTAGATTTATGAAACTGCAACTTAATTTTCAAGAAAAACTTCTGAAGTTTTCATTTTTTTTCTTGAAATATCAGAAAAATACTGCTTGAAAATGTAATATGAACAAATTGGGAGTTTTGGATTTGTGTGAGATTTAGGAGGTGGGTGGGTATACTGAGAGGGTTTTTGTCCCATAACATTATGATTGCCTGTCCTCTTCTGCAAGGGAACTGTTGTATTGAACTTACTCTTATGTTTACTAAAATAGCTGTATGTTTAAAATGGCTCTGTGAAGAAATGATTGCACTAAGCTGATAAAATGTCATTAAAAGCAATCTAATCTCAACTACCCTACTATAATAGTATTTAGTAGACTTAACTACAGGTGCAATGCAGAAATACCTTTATGCACATCATCTCTTATTAGATCAATTCCTTTAACGTTTATGCTCTGTATGTTTCTAGGGAGTAGATGTGTACTCCTTTGCAAATAAAACAAATGCCCACCATATCCATTCTTCAGTATGGGGACTTTTGTTGTTGTTGTTTTAAAGATGCCCGAGCTCTGCCTGGCAGTGAGTGAACTCTCCACTCATCACCATAATCTCCTGTGGCTAGTTCAGCTGGTGCCTAGCTGGATAATACGTGGACGGTAATGACACTGTAACATCAGAAATATGTAGTATCATTAACAGCTGATTTATTTGTATAAGCACAAAGTCTGATAAATGCAATGGGTATTAAATTTTCTTTGGGTGATTCATGTCTGCTTTTAAGTGTTAATCTGTTAGGAGTTCTATATCTTTGAAATTAATAAATTTATAATGTATCTGAGGAGAATGAATTGGATGCTCAATTTCAGGCTTGGAGGCAAGCATCTAGCAGTGTTTATTTGTGCAGAAAAAAAGCTGCAATGAGATAAGGGTACTTACATTTTACTAGCCTCTTTACTAGTTTAATAGCACCTATATTGAGAAAATCCAGTTTAATAGTTGTAGGCAAGTTTATGTCTAGGGAAGCCGTGCATAGCCTCATATACTTTGTAGAAACAGCGTGGATTTAAGAAATTCTCTGGGAAAGAAACTATTTTGTTTTTCAGGGAAGTAAGAAGACGTCTTAGCCTACTGATAATTTCAAAGCTTCTTAATAAAAAGCATATAGAAATACCTGATGACAGTGACAAGCAGGTACTGCATATATGTGTTGTATTTGTATAATTTGAAAGTTTAGAAAACGCGTATATTATTTTTTGTGTTTTATGTTTTAATACTGTAAGCCTATTTTCAGGAACCTTGCAAAATGACCAATTAGTAATTTTTAGTTTAGATTAGTATTAGAAGTATATTTGCACATGTGTGTAACCTGCATGTTCTGCAGCTTGTATGTGCATTATTGTTTATGTGCCTAAACATTCATTTTGGACGTTGGAAAGAGGCCTACGCTTCTTTCAGTCTTCCTTTCGTGTTCATGTAGAGTCACTCTTTGTTTTCCTAGGGTTGATTTTTTTTTTTTTTTTAATTGAGGCAACATACGAACACTTCAGTTTGTGAATAGTCAAAAATTACCCAAAGCATGAAAACTTCCATTTTAATTAAAAATCCCCTTTATGTTCTTGTCTTAGTGGACAAATAATATCATAGTGGCACTAAGTTTCCAATTTTCTATTGCCAGTAAACCACTCCAATTTGTTAATGCTTGTATCTGTAGATGTCTCTTCTGCATCATTTTGTGGTGTACATGAAGCCTTCTAATCTACTAAAGAAGATGAGAGAAGGACTGGAGCAGCAGAATGCCACTGGAGATCACCTTCATACAAAACTAGAACAGGAGGTATAGCTGATAGTGCTTTTTTGCATTTGTCTTTTTATGCGCCTTCTACAATTTTGAGAATGTTTCTTTTAATTTCTGTTAACTGAGGACAGTTCTGTACATGGAATTGTATATACACTATTTTGTTGCTGTTCATGTGTTAAAATACTACTTGTGTTCAATTTTGGTTATAGTCATGGTGGAAGGAAAGAAGTAGCATGTGACAGAGGAAGCTGTATTAGGCTGTTTGACAAACAGGGAAATCATCAGATTTCCTGAATGGCTAAGTCACATGGATGTCTTGAGTCCTGTCTTCTGTAATCAGAAGACCATCCTCCCTCCCTTCTGATGTAATCAGTGGAAACTGTTTGAGGCTGAGCCAGACCTTCACCTGCAGGCTTCAGAAAGAGATTTATGAATCTTTTCTCATAAACAAGTATTAGAAAGATTTTGTATTTCCATCCATCCAAAAATTGAATATTGGTTTGGTTATTTGAGACTATCATGGAGATCTCTTAGCAAGTATTTTGACCTTGCTTTTGACCTTGATGTAGATGATAGGGAAAATAAAACCAACTGCTGAATTTAATTTTCAGTAATTAAAACTACAGAAAGTTTTGTAGGTTACTTAGGTAACTTAAACCAGTGTTTTAAAATGTTTCTAATATATGAATGTAGTGTTTCAAATTAGTTATTTAGGCAAATGTGTAGACATACTTGTCCATTGATCTGGCCATTGGAGGAATCATTCCAGAAAGCAAAGATAGTGCTGTATCTAGATGTGAAGAGTTATGATTGACTGCTAAAGCTCTTTTGATTTCTCTCCAGGCATACTACCTAATCTACATCCTCCTTCATCTAGTCAGTGAAGCTAGTTTCTTTGATGTTGTAAATTCTAATCAAAGGGTGAGTAACTTCAGTGGCTAGATCTTTAGATTTTAAAAGACTATCATGCACACTTGGTCTATTTTTGTAAGACCTATCATGTGATGGAAGATCACCAGTGGATAATAGCACTGGGGGAAACTTTTGTTCTGGGGCAAAGTAAATGCAGAAGAGCTTTCTCTGCATTTCTGCAGATGGAACTACCTCAAAACATAAGGCTGTGGATCAGCAGACATTTATTTTGTTAATCTTTCTCAGAAAGTAACGGGAGATTAACTCAACACAGAAATTCTAAGAAGTTCAATGATCCTATGAACTCTTGAAGTAAGGTTGAAATTTTTCAGTCTAGAAGAAAACCACTTTGAAAACACCCAGTAAAATATGTTCAAACACATCACAGTTTTCTGTGCTGGAGTGCAGCCATGCAGCAAGTGAAAGCTAGGACCGTATCTCCTCTGTTCTCTGTAGTGATAGTTCCTTTGTGCCATGTGATGAACATCTGTTAAGTAATACCTTCTGCTTAGCCTTTCAGTAATCCTGTTCAGATTTCTGTGATCATTTGCTGCAAGGTGTTTGCGTACACCTTCTGCCCCATGGAATCACTGTTGGCTTTTAAGAAATCTGTCATGAACTGTTTGAGAGAAGTAAAGCAGTAATGTTTGGTTACACTTCAGGGCTTAAGCGTCTCAGTTTCCTACTCAATGCAACAAGATAATCACAGAGTATAATCTGAAACAAAACTGTATGTGGTAAAGAAAATAATTATATTGTGACGATCTTTTGGGATTTGTTTTTTACAACTGCCTTCATGAAGATTTGTGGAGAACTTGATCTTTTTTTATATATTTTTTTTAATGTCTCTGTATTTCTTCATGAAGAAAGAGTCCATTATTCACTGACCTGTTAGCCATCAAGTGGCAAGAAGGGTGTGGCTGAATATTGTGCAGGCTAGACTTTGTATAGAATCAATATAACTCTTTCATTTCTGGTCCTCTTCCAGTTAGATTGGGTAAATTGTCATGGCCTTGAGACACCAGCAAATGTTTGTGAGTAGAATTTCAGCATGTCTCACCTGTTCTGCAGAGCAGAGCCTCTTTGCAGCTGTTCAGTGAGGGATTGCAAAGAGGAATTTTATGAAGAAATTCACAGAATGTGAAAGATCTTGGGAGCCATTATGAAGAGATTATGGAGTTGCGAAACTGCTTTATTAAAGTAATCAGAAATTTAGAGAGAAATAAAAGATCAGTGCATAAACCTTGGATATGTTTTACCTGCTCAGCCAATTCCTACAAAAAAAAATTACCTGAGTCATCCTTGAAACTACTTTTTAAAGCTCTTAGACCTGGTTTACCAGGTGCATACAAGCAACTGATAGAGGATCTTATGTTCTTTATTTTCCCCCCTCCTTACTGTATGTTTCTGAGAAAAAAAATCAAACTAAAGCATATAATTTTTAAATTGAAATAATATTTGAAGAAAGCTTTTAGTTTTGACGTGGAGGATTTAAATAGCTGTACACTTTTGTCTTTATTTAGCAACACTTACTGAAGCTTTGCAGTGCCTTAGATAAGCACATAAAATGTGATATTAGGGAAGATGCAAGGCTGTTTTATCGAACTAAGGTAAGGCATGTAAGTTTGGGGTTTTTTGTTTGTTTTGGGGTGGTTTTTTGTGTTCTTGTTGTGTGTTGTTTCCTCATCCCAGCCCTGGAAATTCTAAGAGTTCCTCATGGGTTTGCTTTTTTTCCTGGTTTCTCTGTCTGCATCATGTCTTTGCAAGTACGTAAGTATATGCCCATTCTAATGCACTGAAAATACTCTTTTTGCTAACAACAGGACTCTTAACAACTGTAAAATGCGAGCTTGCCTGCCTTTTAGCCAGGCAACCCACAGAGTTGCTCTATTTCTTTTCCTGGCGGTTGTTGATAGTTGACTCAACTTTTAAGAGCAGGGGCTACCTGCAGGGCAGGATACAGAGGACTGAAAAACCAGCCTATCTTGCATGTGTCTCTGTTTTATTTTCAAATTAATGAGTTAGTTAAAAACGTTGTGGATTTAAGCCAACTGTGTGTGATGTAGCATCAAGCTTGGATAATTGCCTTTCATTTGCATTGTGGTGCGGGGCTTACTAATGATAGTCCTAATTTTGTGACTTTAATGCTTTGCATGCTGTTGTAGCAAGCCAAATCAGATCAGTGATGATAAAGTGACCAACCCCAGCTTTGAAAAGCCTTGGCTTCTTCAGCTTTAAATCAAACTTTTGCAGTTGTGTGCATCCTTACCTCTCGAGAAGATTTTTCTTTTTTTATTCAGCCAGATTAGTAGAGCATGGATCCTTTTAACAAGTTAATTACTCTTGCCTTGGATTTTTGTATCTCGGGTCACACTCACTTTTGTTTCTATTGCCCTTGCACTGAGAGGGGAAAATCTTACTCTGTTTTCCCCCCTCACTTTATTTGTGTAATAGTACAGTAACTTCCAGAGGGTGCCACTGTGCTGGGTTTTAACACAGCATATGAAGCAAATCTCTGTTCTGAATGGCTTGGATTAAACACCTGCATGTGTTTGGTTATGAAAAAGCACAGTTTTATGAATAAAGAATTCATTTCAGAAGCAGACAGTGCTGCATAGTTGGCTTTTGTGACTGCAGTTGCAGGCAACTTTTCTAGGTACAATCAGACTTGTGTAACAAACCTAACTCACCTGAAGGATGAGGTGGGTGTTTGGGAGGCCAGAGGCTTATATGGTGATTCCAAACACTTAACATGGGCAGTCAAGTGCCTGTAAAATGTTTGCGTAGAGTACATGACTTTGAATTCAGGGTCCCAAATTACAGGGATCTGGTTGGAGTTGAAGTGGTGATACTTTGTGTCAGCTGTAAAATTCTTCCCTCTCAGTAAACCTTGGGTGTTGGGTTATCTGGGGTTTTATGGGTTTGGGGGGTGGGGTGGAGACAGGGGGTATGATTTTGGTCTTTTTTTAACATAAATGGCTAAACTAATCAATCTGAATTTGCAGGTAAAAGACTTAGTTGCTAGGATATATGGCAAATGGCAAGATTCAATACAAACCACTCGGCCTACTCAGGTACTGTAATGAAACCTTCTTCTCTCTTTTTCATATTGCAGGGTGCATTTAACTCATTTTTTTAGCATTTGAAAACAGCATATTCTTTTAAAGAGATTTTTTTTTTCTTCGTAAATGGCATGGCTGTGGAATACGCTTAGATGTGTTAGAATAGATTTTAATTAAAATTCTTACTTTGCTGGCTTCAGTAGAACCAAGATTTCATCTTTATTTTTAAAAGTGCTGCTTTTGTAAATGGCTTGCATAATACACTAAAACGCTAGTACTGAGTCAAGTCACAGGGCCTGACTCTGATTATAGTTATTACCAGATGCTTTGAAAAGGACCATGGGGCAGGAATGCAGTGATGCACTTCCTGCCATGGTCTGGCAGTGTGTGACTTTGAGACTGCTTGAGTCCAAGGTTCTATCCACATATGTTTTACGGCTCTTGATAACTCTTCCCCCTTTGAAAGTGTAGAATTTCATGCAATGATTAGGAAAAGCCTTTCATGCTCGTAGTAAATAATGTCATGATTAGTCTTGGTGGAACAGGTGGATAATTTCTACTGATACCCAGAGTTCAGAGCTGTTTCTTCCAGTCTAGGGTTGTAAGGTTTCTTTTGTAATGAGATCAGACCAACTGTTTGAGTCCTGTCTTGGAATATAAAGCTACCTGTCTTGGAAAAGCTTATCTTTCCAGTAATGTAGTGTATCACTTAAAATTTAAATTATACATACAATGCTTAGTATCGATTTGAGTTAAAAATTGTGTAATCAACCATTTGTCTGTAAAGACTACTAATCGCTCCCAGCAGTGTGCAAAAAAGACATCGTTTGTAGTACGTGTGACATTTCTTGTTATAGAGGGGGAAGGGAATTAGATAGTAACACATGGCTGCAGAAACTACTTAGCAATTGGAAGTTGGTAGTGATGCTGCTCTTTCAGAGTTGTTTTTTCAGAGATATTTGATGTTGATTCACATATGGAGAAACTGGCAAGTGTTTCAGAATAAAATTCTAGGGACTTGCAACTCATCGTTGTGATCTCAAGCTAAGCACTTGCTTACTCTACTCTTCTATCATTGGTTTTCTGACTTGTTTACTACTTTGCTTTTACTCTTTAGGGAAAACTGCATGACTTCTGGGAGCCAGATTCATGAAATCTTGCCTAGTTCAGGGAAAATAACAGAAAAACTCTGAAACCAAGGAAGATGTAGAATTAATGGAGCTTTACCTTGGATGGAACAGAAGACATCGGTCACCCGAGTTAAAACTTGAGCTCCATTCAAGCAAATACTAGAAACACAAGGAGCTAATTTGATTAACGTTGCTTTTACTACAAATACACTACTTCTGAAAAATTGAAGTGGGTAAACTGAAAAAAACCCGGCTATTTCTATAGCCCTGTCTAAATTGGCTAGAAATATTTTATCATATTGAAAGCTGAGGGAAGTTTTCTTGTTTCCATTGTTAATCACAAGACATATTTGAAAACTGTATGTGTTCGTTTTCTTACCAGCACACACCTGCAAGCATTGCTTTAGGGTGGCTGGGAAAGAACTGCCCTGTGACATGGAATGTGAGTTCAGAGACAGTGTTAGACCTCCTCTATTGTGAACAGGTGATGAAGTGGCTCAGAATGGGGCTGAATAACAGAATTGCCTGCACATGTTAATCTGCAAAGCAAAATTGGTATGACCATCCAATGTCTCTAAAAATTACAAAATACAGCAGTTGCATGTGAACAAGTGACTGCTCTCATGTCCACTTCAGGGTGGAAACAGAGCTTAAGAGTGGTTGTGCCCAAAGAAGTTAAGTGGATGCTTCTTTGCTCTGTGGTTGTGTTTTATCAAATAACAAAAAGGAATTTGTTATTACAGTGATGCATTCATTTTAGCTTAACTTCCTCATCTTCAGGCATTAATTTATTTATGCAGTGAATGTGACTGCACAGGAAGTGTTTCTATAAGACCAAGTTATAAACGAGATCTTATTACCCCAGTAGTATTGTTGTACTGATCTTTAAGAAACAATGTATCTATATTTGTTGTCTGGCTTCAGAACTTTCTCTAAATGGAGAAAATACTAATCCTAAAATATTAGCTCAGTGGATATTTGAGGAGATGAGCATTTGGCCCACCTATGTAAAAACTGAGAAAGCCTGAATTCCTTTGTGTGAAGTCTTGCCACACACAATCTGTGCGCAAAGCTCCAAGGGCTGTTTGTTAAATAATCAAAGGACAAATGTGATCTCCTTTTGTGTTCTCTGTGCAGTCATTTAAATCTTACACTGTGGTTTGTCTGTAGGATATGAAGAGAAAGTTAGGATATTGGGTAGAAGCACCAACTGGGATTCCCTTAACAAGTGAGATTTTTAATAACATGTCCATTTTATAATACTGTTTCCTTTTAATTTTTGTAGATTATCCTGTCTTGTATGATAAATTCCGTACAACTTTCCAAGATGAGAATGTAAAATAAGGCTCAAACCCCCGCCCCAATCCAAAAACCAGAAAACACCCTTCAAATTTAAGTATGTATATTACATATAAAGGAACTGCTAGAGAATGGACACATGTCTTACAGGGAAGGTATTTTATTTGCAAATTCCTGTTAAATGTTTTGTCTTTCATTTCAAGTGTTAGACAGTTAGCCTAAGACTGCAGCATCTCTGTGCCCTTCACAGGATAATCAGCTTATCTTTGTTCAAACAAAAGTTATGCTCGTGGCATTGTTCAGGGGGGAAAAAAAGAAAGAAAATCCCTTTTTTTAATCTCAACGTGTTATTGAAGAATTGGAAGAATCTACCTCAAAGGGTATCTTTGGCAATAGAACTGCTTTAGGCTAAAAAAAAAAAATTATGTGGTGTTACATAGGTATAGCAATGCCATCCTTTGCGCTGCCTGTCTTTGATAGTGTTTGATACAACCTTCCCTCTGGTAGCAGTTGCTTACTGTGTTGAATATATTGTATGTTAATTTTATTAATGTTTATATTTTTTCTCACTGATGTTGTATAAAGTTTAAAAAAATTGCAGAATATGTTTATTGTATGTAATGTGTATATATTTTCTTACTATGTAAAGTTGAAGTTGCTGTCCTGTATATTTTGGAGAAGGAAAGGGGAGAGGTTTAGACAGCTTTTGTACTGCAGTTCAAAACACGTTGAAACTGCTGAGTTTTTTTTCTGGATTAAATAACCACTTTGATACTTACTTCTATTTAATAGAACAATGAAAAAATAAAACTAGACATGCTTTTCTAATTAAATGTCCCTGGACAAAATGGGCATGCCTCAGCTCTTTCACAAAAAAAGGGCTGTGGGTCTTATTTTGGTCTTACAGCACATGTTGTAATTCTTAGGTTCACAGCTGATTAGCTTACTATAAATGGAGAAAGTCTTGAAATCATTCTTAGCTCAGCCAGTCCTGTGTATTCGTGCTTAATGCCTGTGTATACATTCTGACGTTTTCCCTCTCTCTCCCCCTCCTGCTTTGTCTGGACTTTCTTCCATCTGTTTTGTAGCTGAGTAGTAATTCCCCAGTTG